CAAATCGTCCTGTGCCCCCCTCCCCCCCACATACCGGGGGGCTCCTCCTTGCCCCTTCCCTCCGGATCCCGTCCTTCCTCGCTCGCTCGCTCGCCTTCGGCACCGTCCTTCCCTCCCTTGCCGGATCTGGGGGCTCGCAGCAGTGTCAACATCACCGGTCGCCTGTTTCCCGTCTCCTCGTTCACCTGGATGACACCAAAGTAACAATGAGGCGGTGTTGTCGACCCCCCATATTGCATGTGTGCCCCCCCACCTCGTTGCTGTGACACCGGTACCTGCACCATGGTGGTGAACTGGACAGTATAGCGGCGGCGGCCAGCGGTGAAGCGGACACTAGTCTCGCCAGCACGCCACGCGGCATCGATGGTGCTGTTGTTGCTGGCACTGTAGCTGCACCAGCGACCCGAGCGGTCGTCGAACCAGCGCCAGTTGTTCCCAGTTGCCTGGAGATACTGAGAGAGGGAGTGACAAGGATGGGAAAAGGGGGTGGTCAGAAGTGTGTACGCCCAACTTGTGTCCCCCCAACCCCACTCAGCATCTCCGAGTGCCACCATGTGTTGTGTCCAGCCACAGCGTCATGAGCACAATCTGCTTGTCACCCTCCACAGAACCCTGTGCGACAGCCCCCCAGGACCCCATATTCCTCCCCAGGACCCCATGTGTCACCCCATAAGCCCATGTCCCCACCCCGGGACCCCACGTGTGTCCCCACAACCTCATGTCTCCCCCTCCAAGACTTCGTGTGACTCCCTAGGACCCCACGTGTCCCCTCATGACTCCGCATTCCTCCCCAGGACCCCATGTGTCACCTCAGGGCCCCTTATGGTCCCTCAAGACCCCACCTGTGTCCCCACAACCCCATGTCATCCCTCCCAGGACTTCGCGTGATCCCATATCCCCATCCCACAACCCCACATGTCGTCCCCAGGTCGCCGTGTCCCTCTCCAGGACCCCATTATCCCCCCCCAGCCTGCCCCATTCCCATCCCAGACCTCCCCTGTATCCCCCAAGCACCCTACGTCCCCCCTCCCAGGACACCATAACCCCTCCCCAGAACACATCCCCTCCCAGAACACCCTCTCCCTCCTCAAAACCCCATATCCCCACCCCACGACCCCGTATCCCTCCCAGGATGCCCCATCCCCATCCCAGACCCCCTGTGTGTCCCCCTCAAGCCCCCATGTCCCCCCCAGGACCCCCACCTTGTTCATCTGAGCCCTACGCTTGGAAGAGACAGCTGTCTTCTCGTAGAAATCAATGAGGAGCAGGACTGGGGTGATCCACCTTTTGGGGGAAAACACAAATACGTCAACTGGGGGGTCACAGGGGGGCACTGGGGGGAGGTTTTGAGGGGCTGCCCCCCTTCCTTACTTGGGGGTCTGCACCTCCTTGTGCTCCTTGGCGGCTTGCAGGCAGGGCTGCACCACCTCCAGCAGCTTGATGAGGACATCCAACACGCAGCTTGATTCCACCACCCGAGCGCAGGGCAGCTTCAGCTCCTATGTGGCGGGGTCACCCAAATGTCCCGGGGTTCAGGGACACCCCAAAAACCCCCAAACACCCCCCAAAATACCTAAAGACCCCCCCAAAGCTACACGCTTTGACCCAGAGAGTAGAATTTTAGAGAGAAAATCAGCATTAGAAGAACACTGTGAAAGTTAAAGCATGAATACGAGAACAAAATACAGCAAGGGTGCCCCCCCAAATATTCTGGGGTGCCCCCATCGTCTCACCTCGAAGAGGAGGGTGAGGAGAAGGATCCGAGTGGCCAAGTTAGAAGCTTGAGGTAAAGTTGCCATTTGACTGATCCATTCTGACACCGTTTTGGTATCGCTAGTGGTGAGGGGCAATGCCGCCTTGATGAGGACATCAGCCGCTTCCCAAACCTAAATTTTGGGGTGTCAGGGTATCACCCGCACATCTGGGTAACCTTTAAAGTAGAGGGGAAGCTTTTATTTTTACCTGTTTGACCACTTGTTTGAGGACAGAGTCGCGATAAGCAGCCCCGTTGCGTTTGACGGCCGTCATGATGAGGTCGCACACGCGGTAGACTGTGTCGGGGAGTTCATCCAGGAGTTGGGAACAACCGGGAAGCATGGAGTCAGTGAAGGCCAAAAGCTCGGCCGCTTCCAAAGGTTCGGCCCCTTCGAATTTCTCCAGGCATTTAGCTTCTTCTTCTTCTTGGCGTTCGCGGGCACGGCGTTCTTCTTCTTCTTTGCGGCAGGCCGCCTCCTGCGGCGGCGAAGACAGGGGAAGAAATGGGGGTACAGGGTGAGAAGTGAGGTGGCAAGGCAATAAATGGGGTGAAAGGGGCACAAAACGAGGCTCAACAGAACATAAAATGGAGTCACAGAGTGAAAAAAAAAAAGGTTGCAGGGCATGAAGTAGGGTTGGTGGTGCACAAAATGGGGTCAGGTAGAGTGAAAAATGGGGTGGCAGCATGACAAATGGGGCCCAGGGGGCACGAAATAGAGTCAGAGATAGAAAAGGGGTTGGAGAGCACAAAACAGGGTCCAGGGGGCACAAAATAGGGTCACAGCGTGGCAAAAGGGGTGGGAAGAGCATGAAGTGGGGTCCAGGGGGGTATAAAATGGAGTCACAGGGTGAAAAAACAGGTTGGAGGACACAGAATAAGGTTGGTGGGGTGAGAAATGGGGTCCAGGGGGCACAAAACAGGGTCACAGAGTGAGAAAATAGATTGGGGGGGCATGAAATGGGGTCAGTGGGACACAAAATGAGGTCATTGGGGAGAAGAAAGGGGTCGAGGGGCAAGAAATGGGGCCCAGGGAGTGAGAAAAGGGGTCACCGGGCAAAAAAAGGGGCAATGAGGTAAGAAATGGGGTCAGCGGGGGTAAAAGGGTCACAGGGCAAAAAGGGGGGGGGGGGCGCAAAAACAAGGTCCAGGGAGTGAGAAAAGGTGTCAAGGAGCTCACAAAGTAGGGTCTGGGGACAAGAAATAGGGTTAGAGGGTAAAAAATGGGGTTGGGGGTGCAAAATAGGGTCAGGGGGCACAAAATGGGATCACAGGGTGAGAAAAGGGATCGGGGGGCATGAAATGGAGTTGGGGGCACAAAATGGGGCTGGGGGGTCACGAGAGAGACTCAAGGGCTGAAAAACAGGGTGGGAGGGTGGAAAATGGGGCGCGAGAGGCACAAAACTGGGCGGGGGATGCGGGGCTCCCATTCTAAACCCCATGTCATCGTTGCCCCGTCTCTGCATTCCCCCCCAGTCTCCCCCCTACCTCGGGGGACTCTGCCCGCTGGTCCATGGGGATGTCCTGACCCAAGGACATAGCAATGGCCCGCATCATCTGGTCTTCCTCTGACATGCTCAGGTCCTGTGGGGGGGGGACGGACGGACCAGAGGTGAGGTGAAGGGCTGAGAAAGGAGCAGGAGATTTTGGGGGTGCTCCCCCCCGCCCCCTGTCCCCTTTTCTTACCCGTACCACACCCCCCATGAGGGGGGGAGGGTGGGTGAGGAGGTATTCGGTTGCTTGCTCCATGGTGTTGGTGTTGAGCAGAGCCTCCATGGCGTGCTCCCGGGAGAAACCCATGTCCATCAGCTGTGACAGGGAGGGACAGAGAGGGGTTAGGGGGGACAAGAAAGGGTTTTGAGGGGACAAAAAGACAGTTTTGGGGACAAAAAGGGGGTTTTGGGGGACAAGAATGGGGTTAGAAAGGACTCAAAAAAGGTTTGAGGGAACCAGAAAGCCATTTGGGAGAGGAAAGCAGAGAATTAAAAAGGACGAGAAAATGGTTTGAGGGGAAAGAAGAGAATTTAGGAAGACGAAATTTGTTAGGGAGGATCCAAAGAAGGTTTGAGGGGACCACAAAGGGGTTTTGGGGGGAGAAAAGAGGGTTTGATGGATCAGAAAACAATTGGCGGGGATGAGAAAGGAGTTTGAGGACATAAAAAAGGAGTTTGGGAGACAAAAAGAGGATTTTGGGGACCAGAAGATTGTTAGGGAAAATCCAAAGGAGGTATGAGGACCACAAGGGGATTTTGCAGAGAGAAAAAGGGATTTGAAGGATCAGGAGATGGTTGGGGGGACCAGAATGGAGTTTGGGAAGAGAAAAGAGTTTGAGAGCACAAAACAGGGATTAAGAAAGGCAGAAAAGGGAATTGGGGAGCAGAAAATGGATTTTGGAAACAAAAACAGTTATTAGGAAAGATCCAAAGAATTTCTGGAAAAACCAATACGGCTTTTGAAAAACAAAGAAACAGCTTAGGAAGAACAAAAAGAAATTTGGAGATCGCCAACACCCCCCCCCAAACCACCGTTCCCCAGTTCCCACCTGCTGCAGCTGCTGCTGGTTAACCTGCGGTTCTCTTCGGGGTCCCCCTTCCTCGCCCCCTGTTTCCTCCTCGCCCCGGGAGCCCTCCCGTTCCCGACCCAGGCGCTCCCGGATGAGCGGTTCTCCCCGTAGGATGTGACAGAGGATAGCCAACATGGATTCCGCCATTCGACCTCCATACACCTTCAGCGGCCGCCGGTTCCACAGCTGCTTGATGCACGTGAATGCTGCCTGCAGGGACAGAGAATGAAAAAATTAGGGGTGAGCGGGGAGAAATTTGGGGGGACACACCCCCTTAGCATTAGCTCTACATGCCCCATATCCCTCCCCGGCGTGTAAAGGATCCTCATGTCGACTGTGTGCGCTCTGCTTGCAACACCCCCCAAGTCCCCAGGGCTCCCTGTATCCCCCCTAAACGTGTCCCCAAGTCGCCTCTGTGCCCCCCAAGTCCCCTCTG